TCCTATCCAAGGCCACAGGACAAAGGGGCCAGGTTCATATAACCTAAAAATTTTGAGCCTCCCAGAACTCAAAGGAGAGTGGGGATGAGTCAAGAGTATGAATAGGGAGATGTTGGTCAAGCAGAACAAAGTTTCAGTTATGCAAGATAAGTAAGCTTTAGACATCCAATGAATAGCAGTGTACAGTTAACAATACTGTAGTGTATACTTGAAATATGCTAAGAGGGTAGATCTTAAGTGTTTTTTTACCCCACCAAAAACCAAAAAAAAAAAAAAAAAAAAGAAAGAAAAGAGAAGGGAAAAAAGGAAGGAAGGGGGGGAGGGAGGGAGGGAATGAGGGAGGGAAGAAGAAAGAAGGAAGGATGGAAGGAAGGAGGGAAGGGTAACTATAACATGATGGATATGTTAATTAGCTTGATTATGGTGATTATTTCACAATGTTTGCATATATCAAATCATCAAATAGTACACCTTAAACATATATAATTTTAAATTGTCAATTATACCTCAGTAAAGCTAGAAAAATATAATGTTAAATAAAAAAGAAAGTTACTGAATGGTTTAAAAAAAAAGCTTATTGGGAGAGGTAGAGAAGAGTCAGCAGAAGACATACAATTTCTTGGGATTTTTAGGAGCATTAAGCTACTAAGATTTCTTTTCACTTCAGTTAGAGCAATGCATTCAATTCATTTATTATTCATTTATTCAACAGATATTTATTGAATGGCTTATTGGGGAATAGGCATCTCATCGTGAGCAAGTCACCATCCCTAACTTCAAAGATCTTAGTGGTGGGGTGGCAGGATGCATCAGGTAGAGAGGTAATGCTAAAATAGGGATCACCATAGTTTGCTAAGGAAGCAAGATATGGTAACTGACCTTCCTGTTGAGTTCCAAAAGCTTCTTTGGGAAAGAATAATGTTGGGGACTTCCTGAAGGAAGAGTGGGAGTGGGTGAGTAGAATAATTGGGGGCACACTGTTATTGAATGTCCAGTAAGAGAGGATGTGAGTTCCAGGATTATGTGAAGTTTCATATGACCAGACTTAGGGACGAAGTGTGTGGGGCAGGGCATATGAGGTAGAATGGGGAGAGACAGCTGGGCCCTGTTGCACCAGACCTTGACTGCGGAATTTGGATTCTGTCCTCAAAGCACTGGGGAGCTACTGTTGGTTTCTAGTAGGGAAATGACATTTCCAGATATGAAATCAGAGACAAAAAGGACTAGTGGGAGAAACCAGTGATGGGAAAGACCAATTTGTATATGTTTTTAATGGTAAATTGAAACAAAACTTTCAAAAAGTTAAATTCCAAGTGAAGATCTGTTGAGCAAGCACCTTTCTTATCCATTTCCAAGAAAATGAGGACATGGTTTGGAAATTCCAGGCCAATTGAATTGAAGTGTTTTTGTATAGTTAGCTTAAATAACCAAATGATGAAATCAATCCTCTAAATTGTCAGCAGAACAGCTGTTCAGAAAGCTCTTGTTAGTCATTGACCTTATGTTTAATATGATTTCCTAGAACGTGGATAGTCAGATTGAATAAAGTGCTGCATCAAAGCCCTCCCCACACAGCAAGATCTCTGCAATGAAAGAACCAAGGAAAGGAGAGTGGCTGGCACAGAGTGCAAAAGCCCTTTATTTCCTGCTCCCCAAATCCCCAGGGAAAAGGAAAAGAAGAAAGCACGCCACAGGCACATCTTAGAGAAGAAAGTCCTGGGACTACTAACAGCTCAGTCTCTTTCCTAATCATAATCCAGGGGGTAAAAAAAGAACAAGTTTATGACCTAAAAATCCTCCTTTGGTTTTCAGGATTTTATGGATTCTTATTCCATCTGTTTCCTTTCTGTATAACAGCTGCTTCATCTATTGCTATGTCACTAGAGGTGGGATGGGATATGATGAAAGATTAGATGGGAGAGTTGGAGTTTTGATGGAAAATAGAGGATAAATATGGAGACTTGTTCTTAGAGTAAGAAACCAGTGTCTATAGTACTGAAGAGTTAGTTTTACCTTGAAAATAAAAAGCCACGTATAGAAGTGAAAAAGATGTTCTGTTTACCTACTTACCTATCTATCAATCATCTTTCTCTTTCTTACCCATTTATCACATATGTACTCTGCCGCTATCCTGCTGGCTTCCACTTACTATGAAAAGCGCACATGTAAAAGAGTTAAAGTAAAAATAAAGAATTTCACACACCATATAGTGTAAGAACAGAGTATAATTTTACTAACAGCATGGAAAAAGTAGTTCTGACAATGGAGTATTTAATTTAGCTTAAGCTTCAAGGCAAAATAAGCAACCTCTGTAAGACTTATAAATTGTTATTGTTTATGAAGACAAGTGAAATATTGTATCAGAAGGGGAAAATATCACCTCCTAGTAAATCCTAAAATTTTATTCTTTTATATGAGAGAAACTATAACAAAACATACAGTGTCTTATAGAGCAGTTTTGCAGAAGATGCAGAATTATTCTTCATGTGAGGTTTCTTATACCAGTATTGGATATAAAAGCAGGAGTATTTAATAAAAAGGAACTGAAGACCATGACCTGCTTTATCCATTATTCTTCTGAATAACACATGTTTTAAGACACTGACAAAACAAAACAAAATAAACAAGAACTGCCTGGTTCTGAACTTTTATAGTTCCATGCCTCATCTAAGTTAGGGTTTTGTATATAGTAGCCCTAGGTTATGGCTCATACTGTCACTTTTGAGTTTGGATTCTTTCAACTGAAAGATAATAGAAATCTTAACCAAAAGTGCCTTAAGCAAATGAGAGAATTGGCTCATAAAGCTGACAAGTTTATCAGTATGCTGGTTTCCAGCTCTAGTTTGACCAAGATGTTCACAGCATCACTAGAGCATTGGTTCCTTAGCTGTTTTCCTTGGCTTTCATCCTTTCTGCTATGTTATCTTTTTCTTCCAGTTAGTAGCTCTTACCATAGCAAATATTTGCATTTGTTCCAGGGTTCTTCACACTTCAAAAATCTTTATACTCTAGAATTCAGAAGGAAAAAAAATAGAAATTCTTCTCTAGGTAACAAAGTGCAGTTTAAACAATAAATATCGGTTGAGCAACGAATTACAAAATATAATGTTTAGTGAATTAAGCCAGACACAAAAGAATAGATAATTTTATATGAAGTTCTAGAATAAGCCACATTAATCTATGATGATTGAAATCAGAACAGGAGGGGGAATTAAAAGAGAAGAATTGGAAAGAAACTTTCTAGAGAGAGAAATGTTCTTTATTTCATTTTTGGGTGGTTGTTCTGCCAGTGTATGCATTTGTCAAAAGTATGTTTATGGTATGTGCATTTTATGCACTAAAATGTAAAAGGCTAGGTACTAAAAGGTGAAGCTGGCTGATGTAAGGAGAATTGACTTAATATGGGAAACAGAGATAAGAGACTCAGAGTTCGCTTAGACCACACTGAGAAGCAGAGGTCAGTTCTGGATATATTTTGAAATTGAATCAACAAGATTAGCTGATTGTGTGTTGTGAGAGAAACAAAGGCATAAAGCCTGATTCCTAGGTTTTATCTCTGCATATCTAGGTGAATAGTGATGCCATTTGCTAAAGTGAGGAAAAAGTGGTGAAGAATGAGTTTGGGGTGGGAGGGTGAAGGCAAGGAAATCAAGACTTTGGTTTTGAACTTGAGATGCCCATTGGCCATGCATCTGGAGCTGTCAAGTAAGAAAGTAGTGTAGAAGGGAGGAGTTCAGAGGAGAGGTCAGGTGCAAATATAAATTTAAAGCCATAGGACTGGATAAGACCTCCTAAGGAGTGAGGATTGATAGGGAAGAGGACAGATGCTTACGATAAACTCCTGGCATACTTCCAGAGGAGCTAAGATTTCATAGGAGTGAGGAGGATTTGGATGAATCAATGAGGGGAAGATGGGGTCCCATACCTCCTTCAGACTGTGCTGAGTATAGCATGTGGGATAGAAATGACCGCCTCTTAAGCGGACTGCAGGAGAGATGGTGTGTTCAGGGACTCAGCCAAATGTGTCATCAGCAAAGTCCTCTATATCCTAAAACTCTTTTCTAAATGGTTCTTTGATCTTCTTGCTTTAACAAAAACTTAGCTCTTCCCAGAGCAGTGAGGCAGGGTACAGTCAGAATAAGTTAAAGAGAATGTTCAAAGAGAGGATAGAGGATTTTGCTAATGACAGACTATGAATTCCAAAAGGCTCAGTGGAAAGCTTGGAGGGATTGGAGAAAGGTAGGTGACAGGGTCAAATTCTGGGATACACAATGCAGTAAAAAGTTAAAGAAAATGAGTAATGGGGGATGACCTAGGAGACTTGGAGTTCTGGTAGCTTAGAAGCATGTTGAGACTCGTCCCGATGGTCTTGTAGGGACAAATGTGTGTAACTGGGGCTTCCTCTTGGCACGTTAATAGTTTTTGTGAAGAGGCAAGTAGTGGCTTCTGTCATATCCCTGAACTAATCCCTGTGGCCTGAAGAATGGGATTACAGAGACTATGGGTGCCTAAAATGCAGAGAAGGGATGTGTGTGTGTGTGTGTGTGTGTGTGTGTGTGTGTGTGTGTGTGTGGTGCATTTCTGCGTACTGTGACTCAGGGACAAGTGTACTTAGAGTTACCAAGAGACAGGAGGGGATGACTGCTGAATGGCCAAACCCAGCACACACTCATTAGAGCCCTTCACCCAGCAACCAGCAAACATAACACTGTTGACAGAGTAAATTTGGGAAGAACGTGAGTGGATCCATATAAACACATCCCCACTCTGGGAAAATAACAGGAAGCATTATCTTTAGTGGCATAAAAAAAATCACACAATTTGGCAGTATTGTATTCTAATTTGATCAAGGATCAAATTTTATTGTATGTTTAAGCACTTATCCATTGCAAAGTCCAGAACTCTCAGCAGTGTGTTATCTCAATTTGCAAACATTTGTACTCAAATATTATTACCCACAAGTACATGGGGTCAATTTATACTTCTTTTCTTTTTCACAGGAAGAAATGAAAAGATTGCAGAATCCTTTAGAACAAGTTAATGATGGAAAATATTTACTTGAAAAGTAAGTAAAAAATACAAGAAATTATTTTGTTTGAGGTTAAAAAGCTTGCAAGAAAAAAAAATACCTGCCAAGACAAAAATGAATAAGTAAATTCCACAGTTTCTTATGATATTGTTGTAATCAGGACTCAGAAATATGGCTTATTTGAGATACAGTAGATAGATGTATGGCTAGTTGAGCTATGAAACACAAGCCATACTGATTAGCAGAATAATATGATGCATGGAGATGTGGTGCTATGTTTGAGGCTTAAAACTTGACAATCCTGCCGTGTTTTTGGCTTTTAATCAATGACGTGTATGGAAGGCAGTCATAAAATTTTCAAAAAGGACAAAGTAACAACAGTAAGACCGATAGAATGGACATTTAAAATAATATTACAGAATGGAACAAAACCGTGCTGGGAAAAAAAAAAAAAAGCAAGAAAGACATGAAATTTAACAGGGATACAAGTGAATTTTTCTTTTTTTTTTTTTTTTAAGATTTTATTTATTTATTTGACAGACAGAGATCACAAGTAGGCAGAGAGGCAGGCAGAGAGAGAGGAAGGGAAGCAGGCTCCCTGTTGAGCAGAGAGCCCGATGCGGGACTCGATCCCAGGACCCCGAGATCATGACCTGAGCCGAAGGCAGCGGCTTAACCCACTGAGCCACCCAGGCGCCCCCACAAGTGAATTTTTCATTTAGAGTTTTAGATTGTGCAATTAGAGCACGTGAGGGATATATTCTGATTTCAGTTTGTGTTTAGATGCTTTGAGGTCTTATCTGCTACTAACACGAGACCATGATTTTATATGGCTTCTAAAAATATTACCACAACATAAGACTGATCAATAGCCACGCATTGTCAAGATAAAAGAAAAAATTAACTATCATTTACTGAGCATTTGCAATATCCTCCATATTCGTGAATGCTTACAGATGTTTCCTCATAGAATTCTGATTACAGCCTTTGACATAGGTACTATTTCCATTTTATCGACAGGGAAAGAGGTTCAGAGAGCTGTCAGCACTTATCTAAGTATATTTAGCTCAGAGTAGCGAGGGTGAGAATTTGGATGCCACCAGTGCTCTCAACCACTAGCTAAGTCCCAGTGCAAAGCCCATGTGGGTGTCACCAATGGCTCTGGTCATCACGTTTAAAAAGCACATACAGGGGCACCTGGATGGCTCCATCAGTTAAGCGTCCAACTCTTGATTTTGGCTCAGGTCTTGAACTCAGCATCTGTGAGATCAAGCCCCTCCTCAGGCTCCACTCTGGGCGTGGGGCCTGCTTAATATTCTCTCTCTCCTCCTCCCTTGCTCTCCCCTACTCATGTGCTCTCTCTCTCTGTCTTTGTAAAATAAAATGAAATAAAATAAAATAAAAACCATACAGACCTTCTCAAAAGCATCAAAGGAGGTTAATTAAAATTATGGGGATTCTGGAATAATGTGAAACTATTACAAAGAGCTGAGTATGTGTACTTGGAGAAAAGAAATCTCAGAGGGAACATAATGGTTTTCCTCAAACATTTGAAGGAATTTTCCTATTAAAAAGGGGCTAAATTGCCCTTCTTGCTCTAGAGAGCATAACAAGAATCAGTGAGCAGCACTTATAGAGAGACAGCTTTGTGACTCAGAAAAAGAATAACTTTTATAAAAATGCTGCCTGCCCAACAGAATGGACTTTTGTGTTAAGGAGTGAAATGACAGATACTAGGGGTTTCCAAGAGTGAAATGCCCATCCATCTGAAGTGCTATTGAAAGCATTCCTGAAAATGGAAAATCTTGGATGTGATTTCCTCTTTCTGATTTTATCCTAGCTTTGTGAGTCTGGACAAATTATTTAACTCCCCTGAACCCAGCTTCCTCATCTTTAAAAATGAAGATAGTAACACTGACTTGACACTCTTAGTGAGAGCATTAAATAGGAAGTGCACAATAGCACCAGGCCTTCCATGTCAGCTTCTCTTTCCAGCCCTGTGGTTGTTTGGACTAGACACTTTCAGATTCATTCTGTCTCCATGATTCTAAGAATTTGCCATGTTATCACTTGAAGGACAGTTTCAGCCCTTTGATTAAATGAAGTTTCTGGGTTATCTTCAGATTTAATTTATACTTATCATGTGTACTCTTATTAATATGAATAACTAAGAATAAATTAGTTCAGTTCCCACCCCCCTCATCACCACTAGCAATATGTAAACAATAATAATTTAAAAGTTTTTGGCTGTGTAACTAGAAAGGTTTTCCTTTACGGAGATCAGTGGTTCTTCATCCTGGATGCCCTTAGAATCACCTGGGAGTTAATAAAAAATGAAATAAGCTTTGGCATAACCTCCACCCTAGACAAATTGAATCTGAATCACTGGGGTTGAAGTCCTTAAATTAGTATTTCTTAAAAGCTGACTTCATGTGACTCAAATGAGGAGCTAGGGATGAGAACCAGTGGTCTTGGTACATTTTAGATTCCTTTTGGTTATTCAATAATCTCATGTAACTTAATTCTCTTAGGACACACTTTCTCTGTGACTTTCAGCCCTTTTGACATGGGGCCACTGAGTCAACGGTCAACAAAAGAATTCTTGAGACATTTTCGGTGCAAAAATGTGTTTTTATTAAAGCATGGAAATAGGGCCGGTGAGTAGAAAGAGTTGCACTGTGATCTTGAGGAGCTTTTGATTATATACTTTTAGGTTGTGGGGAGAGGGTAGAGATAAAGAAAGTTTCTACATGGATTTCCATATGCTAAAGAAGACTTACAGGATCCTAGAGGTCTGGCTGTTCTCAAATTAAAGTTCCTTTTAGTCTCTAGCAAAACATCAACATTATTAAGGCAGCCAGGAGTTCCCTGAGGAATATTATACTCTGCATATCTTAGGTATTTGTCAATAGACTGCAAGTTGTAAGGAAATTTAATTTTATCTACATTTCTTTTGCTTTTGTTCTCCTTATCACTTTTATCTATTAAATTTGGTTATGTTGGTATCTCATTATTGATTTTAATATAAGAAGTGAACTCCAGAAGTTTTTTCCTTGCTAATTGACCCACAACTTTGTATTCAGTTTTTCACTAGTGCCAGCATGTATCTTTCCCAGCTCTCTGCTCTCAGGAAGATTTGTGAAGATTAATGGCAGATATGTGGGCTTCTGCCTCCTCTTTCCTCCCCTATTCTTTCCTTGTTACCCAGAAGCAGGGAGAAGCTAAAAGCCCCTGGAAATGGCCAATCATCTTTGCATGCTTATTTTTCCTTATCATGATTGAGGAATTCCAGAGATGGGAATTAAAGTCTCCCTTCAAAGCACACAGGCGTGTGGGGTAATCGTCCCTTTCATGTTTGTCCAGGACAGAGAGAAAACAGTGGCTCCCAGCCTTAACAACCTATACCCATTTGCCTGGAATTCTAGAGCTTTTTCCTGGTTGGCTTTGGGTGGGGCTGTGTCCTTGAAAGCTGTCAGACTTGATTGAAAAATTGGTATACTTTGAGTGAGCAGTTCGGCATTTCATTATAGCTGTAGCTGACTTAGGTGCTGATGTAAATCATCTCAGCTACTTGAAATGACTGTAAGTTAAGTGATAGTGGTGTCATAGCTGTTGATCAGTTATTCCCCCTTGGAACATTACATTTATTCTGAATGGTCAACAGGGTTTTGTGGTAGACAGTGTGAAGGGAGGGTAAGCCGCAGCGCTGTTCTACTGGAGACTGTATGTAGGGCCAAACCTGTGCATTCTGTGCACATACATACACACACTCAGTAAAGCTTCCTGTGTGCCCATAGACAGAAGAGTAATTAGTAAGACTATTAATTAAGAGCCTGCTTATGGCTGTATTGTTTTTGATAATCATTTATTAACTTAAATAAGACCTCAGGGTGATTGCTATTTGTTGTAAATACTGAATCAGGCTAGCTTTCTGGTGGGAAATGTGTGATTGTTGGTCACACATTCACCTCACATATCATCATTTTATTACCCACAGGTAATTATCGATGGAATGAGCTAAAGCTATCCAATTAAACCTACAGGTACTCCTAATTTAGAGTTTGTTGAGGTTATATAAATTATAACCCCAAATTAGCAAATTTATTAATGTTGTAATTTTTTTCTTTTTTATGAAAACTTGAGCTTTGGATTTGGTTGCTGCATAACTACAGGACCCACAACACCTCACATGTATCTCTGTTGCCCAGTTTGCTAATATGCTATTAAGGGGTTTAATTAACAAAATCTTTCTTTTTTAAGATTTTATTTATTTATATGGCAGAGAGAGATCACAAGTAGGCCAAGAGGCTGGCAGAACGAGAGGAGGAAGCAGACTCCCTGCTGAGCAGAGAGCCCGATGCAGGGCTCAATCCCAGGACCCTGAGACCATGACCTGAGCCGAAGGCAGAGGCTTTAACCCACTGAGCCACCCAGGCACCCCTAATAACAAAATCTTAAAGTATCTTTACTATAAGGCTATTGTCCCTACAAGATCATAGACTTGTAAAAACAAGACTTTCCGTGCCCATCAACCCTGGATTAGGTCCCTCTGTGTTTCCCCTATAATAGCATCCATCACACTTGTAATTATTTGTTTAATATCTATCATCTCCTAGATTGTAAAATCATAGAACAGGGACCATGTCTAGTGTTTTCACCATTATATCATTCGTGTTTTGCATCGTTTCTGACACATACAGAAGACATACAATACATTTACAAATGAGTGAATAAGGATGAATTAATAAGGGACCCAGAATATGAATGGTGCAGAGCAAACAAGAGTGTTTTTTTCCCTTACCTCTGGACATCCCAGCTGGGCAACCACAAAGCTATATTGTGCTGATGGCACCATCTACATAGGCCACATGGGAATTTATCTAGTCCACTATGTGTTTCCCCATCTCTTGGTTATTCCTTTCGAAAGAGGAAAGAGGAGAAAATCCTAGATAACTTCAGCACATTGCTTTTAATCTTTTTCTTTTCTTTTCTAAAACCATAGTCCTGGTCTTTATTATCAGACCAATTTGAATACCTTCCTAAATATTTTTCATCATTCTCCTTTCTTACTCCCACAACATCCTTAAACATCCCATTCAAATTTCCCTACCCCAAAAGCTTTAGGTTTCCCTGCAACAATTTTTAAAAAAGATTTTATTTATTTATTTGGCACAGATAGAGATCACAAGTAGGCAGACAGGCAGGCAGAGAGAGAGGGGAAAGCAGGCTCCCCGCTGAGCTCAGAGCCCAATGCAGGGCTCAATCCTAAAACCTTGAGATCATGACCTGAGCTGAAGACAGAGGCTTAACCCACTGAGCCACCCAGGCACCCTTGCAGCAATTTTTCACACTGTAGATAGCAATCCACTGATGGTTTGTTAAATCACTTTGATGGGTCACTACTGAAATATAATTTTTAAAATCTAAAATATAATAAAAGATATCAGCATACATTACATGTAGTTGAGGAAATAATGTACCCTGAAATTTTTGTTTCCATTTAAACACACATGCGTGCACACGCGCGCACACACACACACACACACAAACACCCTTAGCACATGCATGTAATGGATCGGGATGCCAAATATTTGACCTATGAAAACCACTCAGTACGATTAAGTTTAGTAAATATGTTATTAAAATCCTTCAAGCCGTATTTTGTGGTTGTGAGACTTGAGTTTCAATGTGTCTTCTGCTGTATAGTGACAAGAACATAATCTCTTTGAGCTTCTGATTTATCAGCTGTACAGTGGGGAAAATAATTGGTAGAGGCTACTGTGAGAATTAAGATAATACATGCATAATATCTATGATAGTGTTTTATATGTAATTTGTGGCCAGTGACTATTGGTTTTCTGCTTAGCCAAACTTATTTCCTACTTTTATCCTCCACTTTCACCAAATTGCTCTTTATTGTCTAAAAATAGCTGATTTTTATCACCCCTAATCCTTTGTTTTAATATCTCTCTCATATGTATTACCTTTCACATCTCAACTTACTTAATTCTTGTCCATTCTTCAAAACCCACATCAACTACCACCATCTCCATGAAATCTTCCTTGATCATTGTAGCATCCAGTGATTGCCTAATAAGCCCAGAGGAGCACTGATCCTATATCTATAGACCCCTGCCAGGAGTTTTCCAAGGCAGAGATTCATGCTTTTCTCATAGTGAGAGCTCTGCAAAGCTTACAGAATGAAAGGAGGAAAGGTTCAATGACAGTGGTGCTATTGGAGTGAGAATGAATGAAATCTCCTTTACAACTTGGACAATGCCATGGGATTTGTAACACTCTCCTTATATTACCCCCGCCCCACCTAAACGGCCCAATATTTTGTTTTCCTCTTTGCTTAAAAGAAATGACTCTCATGCCTTAAGTATGAATAATGAACTAAGAGGAAAAAATCAAAGGAATAGAAAAGGTAAAAGGTAAAACAATATTTTCTTTTTATGATATGGTTATTTATCCATTATCCATCAATAGCAACATTTAGGCCTCTTTGAATTAATTAAAATGAACAAAATTGGATGTCTATCTGCTTTTTCAAATAAATATAAATGAGCAGTTTTATTGCTATGTAGGTTGTCTAGATTCAGCTATATTGAGACATTATTTCTGTTTCTAGTCACCAGCTGACCATGGATACGGAGAATAATATTGAAAAGTATCCCCTCAATCTGCAGCCCCTGGAATCAAAGGTGAAAATGTAAGTTATTTCAAAGTTTACATTAAAGCAGTAATTTTGCAGTTCTTGTTTTTTTTAACTTCTAGACTACTCTGGAATTTGGGGATACACGAATTAAGCATTTATATATTTCACATCTATATATTAACGATAATTTCCTCTGTTCTGAGAGGCAACAAAACTGTTTTGGGAAAACAGCGCCATCTACTGGATAATATGGGGGACTATTTTATTGTCATCACGTCCTCATTTCTTGGTTTTTCCCTTTTTAAGGCAGAATGCACCTCTTCAGCATCCACTAGCGTTTGCCGCTGTCTTTCATCTTAGTAACTTGGTTAATTTTACCATGGAACAACTTGGCTATTTTTACATTGGGCCATTTCTTTATTAAATACCTAAACACTTTTAATCCTCTTCCTCCTATTTCCATTGCACCTCTCATCCATATATTTTGGAAAAAATCTCTTCTTTTCCTCTTCACTTCCTGTCATTTTCCTTTTTATTCTCTCTTAATAAGGCCAAATGTGAATCCCCGTCCCAACTACAAATGGCTGTTATATAAAGATAGTGCTAAGAATGGGCGCCCAGGTGGCTCAGTTGGCTAAGCATCTGACTCTTAATTTCAGCTCAGGTCATGATCTCAGGGTCTTGAGATTGAGCTCTGCTTTAACCTCTGGGTTGGGGCCCCCATGTCAGGAGCCCCTCACGGAGTCTGCTTTCCTCCACGGAGTGTGATTCCCTTTCTCCCTCTCCTTCTGCCCCTTCCCTTTCTCACAGCCTCTCTCTCTCTCTCTCTCTCTCTCAAATAAATAAATAAATCTTTAAAAAAAAAAGAGAGATGATTTTAAGAACACTTCAATATTAACAAAAATGAAACTGGTAACTTCACCTTTCTCCATCATATACCTGCACTAGTGAGAACTTGAGGTGGGGGTTGGGTGGGGCAGGAAAGACTCTCAGTTGTTTCCTCACATGCAGCCCAACTGAAAAGAAAAGAATTTGATAAGAAAGTCTCAACCTCTTTGTGGAGTGCAAAGTAGAGAAGGGACGTATAATCACCTCAGTAGCAATTTTAAACTATGCTTGCTTTCTGTAATCCTTTCCCATTCTGATTTTCCCTCGGGAGTGCATATAAGAATTTTCAGTGAGAGCCTATGTAATCTTTCTCTCTCTCTCTCTCTCTCTCTTTCTCACACACACACACACACACACACATGCGCACGCGTGTGTGTGCATACACACAGCTTAATACTCTGAGAGGCATGTATTTGAGAATTTGAACATGTCTGAGGTTGGCTAGGATAACTGATCATTTGCAGGAAAGCCCAAAGAGGAATCCTTTAGAAAATAAGTCACCCTCAAGAAGGGAGCCTTGAGGTGTACAACTTTGAAGAACAATAAGCCATGGATTTAGGAACAGAAATGGTGCACATATATATACTATCCTGCTGGATAAAAGCAAATATTAACATAAACCCCTGCCAATTTACATTAACCCTGGTTATCAATAAAAAGCTTGTCTCTGAGTGAAAACATAGAGATACCTTCAAGATAAAGTTCAAACATGGCTTCTGAACCTGTTGGGTCCCTTCCTAGGAAGCTCTGTGTCATGCTTACTAAGTGAATAATAAATCAGGCTACCAAATTTTATGCAAGCAATGTGTCAGCCTCACTACAGAGGATGTGAGTTTTCAAACAGAGGTTGCTTTATTCTTAGGAATTTTCTCATTAAGATAACATCCTCTTAAATGAAAAAGTGCTAGAATGGAAAGTTGTTTGTGTGAAAAATAGGAGTGTTTGATTTGAATGCTGAAATGAAGCTAAGAAACCTGTCTGGTCTTTTTTGGTTTTCAGCATCCCTAATATGTAGGCAGAGGGGCAGGTGCCAGGAAGAGGAGCAGGCAAGAAAAAAAAAAAAAAATCTCTCTGTCTGAGATTCCAGCCAGCTCAGAAAGTCTGGGACTTTCCCTGTGGTTGGCTTGATAGAGGAGTCTCAGCTCAGTGAGGTGCAAACAGAATGGTTTTATCTCTTCTAATAACACCGAACCCCATTTCCACTCACTGGAGGGGGATGAGGAAGTGAAAGCTTAATCTTGTCCAATAATGGAATTTGAGTCCCATCGGAGAATTTAGTCCAGTTCAGTGACTCTTGCCTAATCTGGTTATTAAATTCTTAACTCTCAAGACAGGTTAAACATCTCCCCTCTACACACATTAGATCTTTCCTACAATTGTGCAGCTTGTTCTCCTCTGTATTCTCTCCTCTTTCTAGTTGCCCCTTCTCCTTGATATTACCTCTCCCATCCCTCATGTGCTAAACACCCAACTGCCCCAGGATTCCCACTAATGGTAACACTTAGCTCCTTGTCAGTTGTTTCCTTAAAAATAGCTCTAAGTGTTGGGGCCCTGGGAGAAGGGTCATTTGGTCTCCCCTGAGTCTCCACCAATGATGCAGGCTGTGCCTTTCATTGTGCCCCTTGCTCTGCTGGGATTGTCTCCCTCAGACTGACCTTGGCATCCTCACAACAGGGTGGATCTTGGCAAACCCTCATTCCCACTTCCCAAAGGATTTTCTTTAGTCCTGCAGAGCACTGGATCTGAAAGATGGGGCCTTGTGCCAGGTTCCAGAGTCGCTGTCAGACTTCATAGGTTTTCTCTCAGGGTCTTCTGGGATTTGTTGGTGGGAACCTGCTGAATATCTAGCTTCCTCTAGTGGGTAGAGAGAAGTGAGTGAAGCGAGGATTACTACATTATAAGATTTGCTTGGTTTCCTGGAAACTCTCCTCTCCCTTCCCTGACGAGGCGGAGAGGGTTAGAAGGTTCCAATGAAGGTTTTCTGGACACTCCAACCTCTGCAAGCCCTGAGGTGGGATGCACCTTGGCGGGCCAATCTGTGAGCATAAAAGAAAATAAGGAGGATGAGACTGTTCTCAAGTGTGGGCTGCCTCCATCATATACCTGCACTAGTGAGAACTTGAGGTGGGGGTTGGGTGGGGCAGGAAAGACTCTCAGTTGTTTCCTCATATGCAGCCCAACTGAAAAGAAAAGAATTTGATAAGAAAGTCTCAACCTCTTTGTGGAGTGCAAAGTGTCAATGAAAGAAGTAAAGACCTGCCAGGAAAGAACACATGTGAGTGTAGGGGTGGAATTTAGAGGAAATGTCGGGAAGGGTACATTGCCTGGTTCATGAATGCAACCGTTCACGGGTAATTTTGAGTTTTAGACTTGAAGGATCAAAGGACTGTGTCAAAAGGGAAAAAGCAATCAAGGTTGCACAGCTATTAATAAAAAAGTCATTTGAGGGAGGTGAAAAGCAGGTTTTCTGAAGATCAAGCAAAGGCAAGCCTCATAAGTCAGAAAATTCAGTGAAAGCAAAAGTAATAGTGAAAGTACCACAGCAAAGTCCCTCAGCACAAGTCTAAGACTAAAGACAAATATCTTCTTAAGAGGCAAGGCTGCCTGAGGGCCTGGGGTTGAAGGCACACATCAAGGAACACAGGCTTCAGCACAGTGGCCTGACTGAAAGGAAGGAAATGGACTCTCCAAATCCCATAAAACTGCTGCCCTTCACGTGGGGGTCACATCTTGCCTGTTGTAGTAAGATCTACAATGCATCTTCTGAATACAAACCATCACTTAACAGTTGTTCACTAACTGTGTGCAATCCCTCTCTGATGTTCTAGCAAAATAAATATTTTGCTATGCACAATATAGGCATCTATTGACTACAAGTCATCTTTTGAACATCTACTTGTTAAATGTGTCCAGTTTCCCTCATTTTTTTATTAATGTATTTGATGATTTGGTGATGAAATAACCTTTAGAGTCTATAAAAGAGAGGGAGCGAGAGAGAGAAACACAGACAGACAGTAAAAAGACAATTCCCAGAAGACTTTCAAAGATATTTCTCAATAAAGCCTTGCTAAGTATCATTCATTTGAGAGTTATGCCCATCAAGTTTGATCAGAAGTTTAGTTAAAAGAAGAAACGAGAGAAGAATGGCTGAGAGCATAGACCCTGGGGTTAGAGCAAATAGGAGAAATCCCAGCTCTGCTCTGTACCCACTGTGTGAACGTGGGAACACTGCTTGCCTATCGGCCACAGTTGCATTCCTCTATAAAATAATAACATTAACCCTGTCAAAAAGGATTGTAGTAAGCTTTCAATGAGAAAATTTTAAAAAAATGACCTAATGTATCTTTTCCATGGAGTTATACTGTTTTCAAACATGTTTTTTATGCCAAATTGGGCTAACGAAATATTGCCCTTAAGGATCCTTAGGAATCCAGCATATCACACTAATATGTATGATTAGCACATATTACTTAAAATTTCTGAAAGTGTTTGTTTTTTTTAAGTAATTATGATGATCTTCTAAGACCTCTATTTATCAAGTTTGAGACTGACTTAGATACCTTATCCTTAGTTCCTTTCAAGAATTTCACAGAGGTTATTGTTATTCCTGTTTTGTGAGTAAGCACAATGTAGGCCAATAACTTTAGTATTTTACCCAACGATCACAACTAATGAGAAGTAAACTGATCAAAACCTATATGTCTCTAAACACACTTAGTTTCTGGGGAGTTCCAGTTTAAGATGCCTAATGCAGGAAGACTCTGAATTCACCCATAGACATACTGAATTTATAGCTATTTATGGAACAATATCCCTTGGAAAAAAAAAAAAAAAAAAACAACCCAAAACTGGCGGAGCAACCCCTTTAAGTCAGGCAGATGAGAGGGAAACCACATCAAAACAGGTAGGAAATGCTGGGACATAATCTTGCTGTAAATCCCAATCCCAATACAGGGACTCACAAACAGGAAGAAATTCAAAACACAGAACTTCTTCCTGAAGAATGAAGGATCTTACTCTGCATCAGGTACCCTAACTACTAAGACCAGCACCCGAGAGACAAGTCTGTAAAACATCTGGCTTTGAAGATGAGAGGGGTTCCAGTGCCCATGACACCTGCAGGGTTATGGCCAACTGAGGGTGAGGCAGAGCTTCACCCTCAGCCC